GATATAAGCATTTGGGGTCCTGCAGAATTGGATGAAGCTGTTGGCTATAAAGAACTTTATATCCTGCATTTCAGGTCGGATATCTCGCAGGACGTTGAACAACTTGTCTACAGGGCCCGATAATATTGGTATATATAATAAGGGTAGGATGTTTTTGTTCCGTAGTGGTCTTTTGTGTACTCTGAAGCCGGCAACCGTTCGAGCCGGAGCTGGTTTCAGGGTTGGTCGGTTTGGGATCATTTTAGCTCGGGTTTCCGCTTCACCGCTGATACAGCGAGTGTGGTATGGGTTTGGTTCGAGTGGAGCTTTGAGATTGGTGGTGTTGAGGTTTCTCCGGGTGTTCGGGGTCTCGATGGGTTCGAGGATCGCGGATTGGTCTCGGGGTGGTAATGAGGTTTTTTCGTAGCTTTCGTCGGTGACTTCTTCTATAGAGGCTGGTTTCGGGGTGGGCTTTCGCAAGGGTGGTTTAGGATCGACTGATACAACTTCGCGACTTTTTCGCAAAGTTGTGTTGTGGTTATTGGCGATGTCGGGGACAGTGGTTGCCATAGTGCTAGCGGGGCAGCAGTATCTCGAGCAATATGTAGAAGTAAATTTGAGCGTCATCGCCGACCAATCGATGGTGGGGTTGTGGCGCTGGAGCCATGGGAGACCGAGGATCATAGGATCTGCAGTCGATAAAGTGGTGACATAGAACAAACCGATCTCCTTGTGATTGTTGATTCGTATATCCAGAAGCGCATACTGAGACGGGATATCGGAGGGTTTTCCATCAGCTAGGAGTAAGTAACGAGTGTAAGGGAGAGGGCGTGTAGGTATACGGAGCTCAGAGACGACTTTCCTATCAATAAAGCCATAACCTGCAGCTCCGTTATCTATAAGACTAACAAGCGGGATAATCACATTAGGCGCAAGAGAGATTTCCGTTGAGATTTTAAGAGATTTGCTATTCATTGATTTAAGATACAAAGGATCTCTAGATATAACTGATCTTCTAATCTACAAAGGTAAAACTTCCATACAGGACCTCGATTCGCGACTGTGAACCGAGGTTAATCTTTTAATATGCCTGGCTGGGGAGCTGAGCCTCCGCTCTCTTCCGAGTGAACAGATCCCTCGATGTATCCTCCTAGATCAACCTCTTGGCTGAGACTAGAGGGGATCGGAGAGTCATAGCGCAATGGCGTGGCTGAGAAACAATTGGCAGACGAGAACGAATTTTGGTACGAAGGGGCAGCGGTGTTGCGATAGGGTCTGGGACCTTGGTGTTGATTGACTACTGGGAAGCGATTGATATAAGGGGAGTATCTTGTACTAGCATTAGCATTGTACTTCGCGTCATTGGCACGTTTTTCTTCGCAATTGCTTTTAATATGATCAGGCTTCATGCAATATAGGCAGAGGCCGAGATCAATACATTGCTCTCGGGTATAACGAAATGGGGGACGCTGACCTTGGCGAGCGGCATCCAATTGCATGGGGTCGCTAGAGAGATCCGGTGTAGGGGGAGGAGTTGTAATAGTAGCCTGCTTTTTATCGTGAGGTTTCGATTGGTCACGATTGAAATTGGTACCTTGATTCTTTCGTTGGTTATCGAGGTGAGTCTTCTCCTCCAAGTCATCGTAAATACCTTGCCACCAAACTGTCCATGCATCAATGTCGGCAGCAGAGGGCTTATTAGGGCGGTTGACCGAAGCATCGATCAGCTCCTGTGAAACCTTGAGCTTAAGATCAGCGACTTATTGTTCTGTGGTTTTCTTGCATTTAATAGTGAGCTGTTTGAACTCGGTAATGAAGTTGCCAAATGGGATCTTCTTCATCTTACACTTGTCGTAATCTATAGAGGCTTTTCGTGAAAGATCAAGGGTTTGATATTGCTTGTTCAATTCGCACCAGATGCTTGCTACAGTGCGCCATCCGGAGGGCCAAAGGTTGGAATCATGCGGGTTATCAGTGATCGCATCGAAGTGTATCTGATTGTTCGTATAAGCAGGGCCAGAGAGCAGGTTAGCAAGGAATGTAATCTTTTGGAACTCCGATTCATTCTCGTAGTCTGTGTTTAAGCAACGATTGACCGCGCTACGGAACGCTGTGTATTGATCCTGACGCTTTGCAATGTCTTGCTCATCACCACTAAACTTCTCGGGGGCAGTGAGGTACTTTCGGCGGGGCGGGGCTTGCGGGTTATTGCGAATGGCAAGTTTCAATATCTCAATTGTGTCTTTCAATTCGGCAATATTCGATTGGGCGTCGGCGACTTGGGCTTCCGCTGCAGCGGCTTGAGCTTGTAGTGAACTCGTGATCGATTCGATCGACTCAAATACAGCTTGAGCAGCTGCAAAATGTGCAGCGTTCGGATCGTTGAACAAATCTGTGAACGAAGAGACATCAGTTTCGGCGGAGTTGAGAACATGGTTCAAGAAAAGGAACTGTGGGGATAGACCAGGTGCAGGTGCTTGGTCGGCCATCCTCAGGACTCTCTCAAGGTCGTAAAGCAACCTTGCAGAGTTCCTAAATAACGGCGGCTAGGGTGCGTGGCGGGTCAGTGGTGGGTACGATCAGCGCGATCGGGATGTGACGTCGGTGGAGTTTAATTAAAATGAAGCTGTGGCAGCTTCTTATGAAGATGGTAAAAACTGTCAAGATACGGGTAAAGACGTATATTGTACCATAAGGGTAGAAGAGCTATGGAAGAGTGAGGCCCTGCTTACAGGAAGTAGGGCACGCTAGTAGTCCGTGCCTAAGGCACGAAGGCAACTACAGAACATGTAGTTGGCGCCATTGTCACGAGGTCACCCACATTCAGGTAAATCACGTGTGATAACGGATAAGCCGATGGTCCGTTCGCACACGATCAGATTTAGGTGATTTACTATGGTAAAATGGTGGTGGTAAGATCGAATAAAAACACAGCCGAAGCCTCTCCGTTAGTGTACGAAAACCTGTATATAAAGAGCCTCCCAGAGAGCTGTAGTTCTGTAGCTTTAGATTCTAAGGATGAAATGAACCCTGTTTATTCAGCTCTTTAAGGCATATCGTCATACTAAGTACCTTTACATATAAAATTTGGTGTAAAGGTACCTGTCCGAATTCCCCATACGTTACGTTATTTAAAACGATTTTTTATATTTTTATAAATAACGTAACGTATGGGGAATTCGGACAGGTACCTTTACACCAAATTTTATATGTAAAGGTACTTAGTATGACGATATGCCTTAAAGAGCTGAATAAACAGGGTTCATTTCATCCTTAGAATCTAAAGCTACAGAACTACAGCTCTCTGGGAGGCTCTTTATATACAGGTTTTCGTACACTAACGGAGAGGCTTCGGCTGTGTTTTTATTCGATCTTACCACCACCATTTTACCATAGTAAATCACCTAAATCTGATCGTGTGCGAACGGACCATCGGCTTATCCGTTATCACACGTGATTTACCTGAATGTGGGTGACTGTTACAATGGATTAGTAACAGGTCAACAGAAGTCACGGGACAACAAATCAAGCTTGGAAATAAGAGATCTATAACTTTGCAAACTTTTCGCGAAGTTATATTTAGGATTAGAAATGACCTAGAGGACTAGCCTCAAGGATAAGAACTCACAGGACAAGTGTCACGTGTTGGAGCCTTTGGAGCCTAGGATCCAAGAGGGCTCCAAACAAGATAGAACCTTGGGTTCTATAGAGAACGAAGATCTATATAAGGAATGGGATTTCATTATAATGTAGAGCTTCGTGCTCAAGAACAATCATTAGTTTCATTACTATAGTTACGAGAATTGCAACCAGTTACAACCTTATTGAATTCCTACTTGAAGTCTAGTCTAAACCACCTCGAGAGATCTCTAGACACTTCCACGTGACCCTAGAGGCAGCTCCCGTAACAGTGACCTCGTGACAAAAAATTACTATGGGGATTTCTAAAATCGTATTAATTTAAGAACAATATTATCAAAAATTGTTCTATAATTTAATACTATATTTTTATTAGATATTAAACCTAATTATCAAAAAAAAAAATTATCTTCAATATTTATAGAAATATAAAACGTCGTTTCAAATACCTTTACATATAAAATTTAATGTAAAGGTACCTGTCCGAATTCCTCATATATCCGAATTCCCTATACGTTATATTATAATATTAAGATTAATAAAAACAAAAAAAAGTTGAGAATAGATTTGAAAACGAAATTGAGGATTGCGTTATAATTAATTGTTGAATAATATAAGTTTTAATTAAATAGTCCCCTGCATTTATGGTATCTACGCCACTATAGTACTTAGCGGAGACGAATTTGACTCTGAAGCTCATTATCTGCTTGCCGTAATATCAATCAATCTAATTTTGATGACATCATAAAGCATTGTGGCTCCTAGAAAGTTGAGTAAAGCATCGTTGGTGGCAAATGCATCATCCCTGATTGTTCATATCAAACTTCTATCAGCTACTAGTATTTGACGATAGCATGTATCAAATATAGCACATGATTATAAGCATACTGGGTATTCTTGAATCCTATAGGCTTGAAATAAGTGGCGCTGTTTAGGCTGCAATCAAATCGTTCCTCAAAAAATAAAAAGTATAACACAACATGTTACTACCAACGAAAATTTGAATCTCTATCTTCTAATCCTTCAAACTAATCTTCTTCAGGTTCATAAACTAATATAGACCAGTGTAGCCTTAGCATTCTCGTTTTTGACATGATAGACGACTTGGAATGAGAATTAAACCTCTCACATCTACGCCCCTTGTCTGCGATCTGATACAACCTTATGCTAGACATAATCCATCTAACCTCATTTGCTCCTCGGTTCATCGCCACTTTCATACTTGATCCGGACCTTTTACTCCTTTGTCACTTTTTAAATAATAGCCCCACCTGCTCCCACCATCACTTAGTCAAAGATATGATTATATCTATATTTTGAATTTCAATTCAATTGATTACACAATATCAGGTGCAAAACTTCACACTCTTCTTTCCAGCGATATGAGTACTACCACAAAAAGTAGCAATTCAAACGATTTTCCAAATAATAGAAATACCTCACTAGGAACAAAAAGTTCTGATAGTTGTGCAACCTCTGTATCCTTTGATAAGAAGTTGGAGAGTGCAGATTCCGTCACAAAAGCGAGAAGAGCTCCGATATCGATCACCACAAACGCTTGTGTCAATTGTAAGAAGGCTAAAGCGAAGGTAGTTAGTTCATTTTAATATTCTTCAATTTGAATTATGGAAGTGAAAATCGAGGCGTAATTACTTCTCACTAAAGTCTACATAGTGTAATGGTAAACAACCTTGTACTCGTTGCACCAGCCAGAGGAATTTATACCAGGAAGGATGTGTTTATGAGCCGCATACCAAGAACGCGAAATCAATACTAGTGAAGCAACTTAAAGAGAGCCATGATATCAAACGCAAAGCGGAAAAAATCTTTGCACGGCTTGCGAATGACACCGAAAACGAACATGATATCCTCGAGCGTATTAAGAATAGAAAATCGATCACGGAAATAGCTAATTGGCTAGAATCTAAAGAGAGCAATAGTGTATCCCAATCGTCTAGATATGGATGTTCCAACAACAACCTCGACGATGATCTGCCTAATGAGTCTTCTTGGACAACAATAACAGACGATGACGAAGTAATCTCCCATCTTATGTCCCTGTATTTTACATGGGTTCACCCCTTCTACCCTTTATTCAATGAAGGTTACTTTGTGGAAAGTATGAATCAAGGGTTGGACGCATTTTGCTCGCACAGTCTGTTTAATGCCATCTGTGCCATGGCATGCTACCTCCACACCAGCATGAACGACGATACCATTGACTACAAACAAATGGGCTCCCAATTCTCTGATTTGGTTAGGAGCAGCATCGACCCGCAAGACAATAGCCTAACGAACATCCAAGCATTTGCGGTCATGTTCTTGGTACGCTGTGTAGAAGGGCAAGGGCTTAGTGGTTCAATATACCTGATCATCGCAAGAAGATCTATAGAGAGCCTCAGACCAAACAATAGTGATAGCGTTAATTATCAACAAGCTTTGAGGGAAACGATTAAAGGAATAAATAGCCTAAATGTGTAAGTGCTCAGCTTCCTGCCTAGTGCAAGTCTACCAAAGGCGTAACTAACACCTTCAGCGAGTGGGCTCAGATGGCCTTCAAGATGTCACCAGCTTACATTCCAGACTTGCAGCCAACTCAATCAGCTAAGGAGATAAGCTTATGGGAGGATGGAGTTGACAATCTCAGTTGGGCGCCGTATCGATTCCCTACAGAATTCACAAGTGTACCGATATTCCCCTGTTTGACGGCAACCACCAATCGTGAAAAAATGAAGCTCGTTGATATCATTAACGATATTACGATACTCCTTTATAACACAACTGGTCCTCAAATATCTGCTGAAGCTTTGTGGATCATTTATCGCAGATTGTTGACTTGGTATGAAGATCTACCAGGGAGCATCGCCAGAATAGGTGGAGAAGAAATTCAAACGCTACCACATGTACTTTCGTTGCAGTAAGCTTAATCCGCTATTGTATCCACCAGATCCTATCATAAATCATCAACTGACTGCTCAGTACATTATATAACACAGCAGCAGTCTATCTACTAAACCCGCTATTGGGGTTCAAAGAACCCCAATTTGATGCACTGGTTAGACAACATGCAAAGGAAGGGCTCAGCCTCATTATCGATCGATATTGCTTTCAATATACATCTCGCTACCAACCCGTCTCCCAAATATTCGCTGTACTATATCTAACTGAGGTTCTGATTCAATCCTCTCCAGCAACTACTGAAGACTCGGACAAAGATGCTTTAGCACTAATAAAGGTAGCTACTGATATCTTGACAGAGTCAAATAGTAGCTTTCCTGTTGCTAGAATATTCATGGGAATGCTTCAAGAAAATACAAGGAGATTGTTGACCCCGTTGCCGAATGAACTTGAAGATCTCTTCCGTCGTAATTGTCGCATATCGAAATTTCCTTTAGACGATGCCGTCAATGCAATTGGAAATATCACTTATGCTCAGCCAGTTGAAGAGATTCGAAAAAGATTTCATTCTGATTTTAAATATAGATGGATGATGCATGCCGCTGCCGGATATCCCAAGACCTTCTACAAACCGTCGATCTCACGCCAGCCTTCAGGTGAAGAAACAGGTGCACAGAACCTAATGCGAATTCTCAACCTGCAAAATTACAATACAGATTGACGTATTCCTCTGAAGCAAGAAAGAAAGCAATCTTTTTTTTTTCTTTTTTTTTCTCCCTCCATTTCCCAATATGATTTTCAGAAAATAGATATATTTCGCAAATTGTAGTTTGAAATGAAGAATACACTATTATTTGTTCAACAGTTTGTTCAGTCTGCAAAAAAATTCTGATTTTGTATCACGGTGCAAGAGATAGGTACTAGGTAAGATGTATGATATTCTACAAGGGTGGAAGAAGGCGCTGGATGAGCGCCGACTATGTAGGGTATGGATGCCTAAGGCATCCACAAGACTACGCTGTTGAACCCGTGACATTTTGGTCAGAATAGTACTGCTCGAGATATTTGCTGAAATGGTCATTCGACTGATACCAATACCACTGATAAACGTTGATTAATATGTTACAACGGATTAGTAACAGGCTGTAGAATCACCAATGTATAGGCTATAATGGTATTATAGGCCTCAATAATTCAGTTACAATATATTAAAGGACATTAAGCACCCAAGGAAAGCCTCAGGCATATATATAATATTAGTTATAGAATATCCTAGAAATGTAGGATACAGTTTTTAGGATAATAGATCTTAGGAAATACTGAATAACGTAGTTTAACACCGAGTGGCCCATATCATCGAGTGGCCCACTTCAAAATACATACAAAATTCGTCCGTGCGTAGCCGTGCACTTTCTTTATTTATTGATAGAATTTTTAAAAATTTGAAATTAGAATATTTGATTATATAAATATTATAAAAATCTAATTTGTTTTAGAAAATTCAAATTGATATATGATTTATTATTAAAATAATATGTTTGTAACGAAAATCGTGACAATTTCGATTTTTTTTAAAATATAATAGAAATATTTATATAAAAACTAGATTTTTAAAAAAACTAATTTTTTATTATTATTTAATATCTTTTTCTTTTACAAAAATAATGTTTGGTTATTAAAATATAAATGTTAGAAAAAGCTTAATATTGGTGTATTTTGAAGTGGGCCACTCGATGATATGGGCCACTCGGTGTTAAACTACGTTATAACTTTACAAACATTTTGCAAAATTATATTAGTAATTGTTGGTATCACCATGGGGATGGTGAAGTCAATATAGTACTATGGTTCACACTGTTGTAATATTGCTTAGGGTTCTAAAAGCTAGGACTACGAAACGTATTGCTGTAGTGCCGAAAGGCGCTAGCGCAAGCGCTAGCACGGTCACATGATCCCTATCCCGACAGTAATATCCCAAGGGATTAGCCCTAGGATAAAAGATAAGCTAGGACAATAGGAATTACGGGATATGTGTTATGTAATCAAAAACCGATTGATTTATTGATCGACTTCAATACGAAGATCTATATAGAGAATAGGTTTCATTACAATGTAAAGTTTCGTACTTAAAAACAATCATTAGTTTTATTACTATAGTTACAAGAATTGCAATCATTACAACCGTATCGAATTCCTACTTGAAGTCTAATCTAAACCATCTCGAGAGATCTCTAAACATTTCCACATAACTCTAAAAGCAGCTCCTATAACATCTATTTATAATTAAAAAGGTATTATAATAGAAGTTTAAAAGAATCAAATGAAAGGCAATTCAAATTATAAGTCCGTTTTAAATATAATTTTTTAATTAATTCTTTTAACAATTGATAGTTTAATGAATAATTACTAATTATCAATTGTATTAGAAAAGATACTCATACCACATATCACACTATACTATATCTGTTACGTAAGCGGACACAATAGGAGTTGTAAGCTTTACCACTACGCCACACACGCAATCTGTCCAAAGGCACAGTATCAGGGATTGTTTCCTGATAGCTTACTACTATATATATATCCATTATAACAGAGCCCTCCTCTTTAACCTTTTCGTCCCGAAAAGGCTAGTACAGGGGCTATTTATACTATACTATAGTCAACCATATGATTTGTAATAATAGAATAACACTCTTCTATTATCCAATACCCTCACCATTAATAATCCCATTATTAATGATCAGAATATCCAATCATTAAGCAGATACATCCTCGTCCCTAATTCGATCCACTTTTCAATTGGTTGTTAACCCAGTTCCAATTAAAAGCCCGAATCAGAGATCCCAGAACGATATCCACAAGGTAAATCCCTGATACTCTGTTACGTAAGCGGACACAATAGGAGTTGTAAGCTTTACCACTACGCCACACACGCAATCTGTCCAAAAGGCACAGTATCAGGGATTGTTTCCTGATAGCTTACTACTATATATATATCCATATAACAATATCGAGATTAGCCCGCATATGACTCTACCGAGTCCACACATATATATCGTATCACTATATAGAACTTAATAATATTAAAGCTTTTCCACCAACTCATATATAATCTTTTAATAAATTGTTTTATTTATTAAGAAATATATTCTTTTGTATAACAAAAAGTTTTTATTGCAATTGATATACTTCAGAATACAATGAATCTCCTTTGATATATTGTGTTATTTATTTATTTATTTATTTATTTATAGTAATTAACGTCTGTTTTGGACCTCCCTAAGGGTATATAGACGTGCTAAGATAAGGAGCTATTTGAGCGGCGTGATCGTCGCGACCGAATTTAGCAATTTAACTTCAATGCCAGGGGCTGTTCGCTCCTCTGCGGGTGCGATCCGCTTCTGCTTCCAGAATGGTGCGTCTGATCCGGGTTGTTGATGGGGTAGAGCTTGGTTCCCGGATGGATAGGCTCATTGTAAGCTCCGATCCCTTTAATGGAGGAGGGGAAGCGAGGGTGGATTGTTATTTGTTTAGCCGAGCAGCGAGGCTCTTGTACAGTATATTGGGTTTGCGGTTGTTTTTGGAGGTGGAGTGAGTTCGAGTGATCAGTTGAATGATGAGTTTATAAAGAGCGGGGGGGTGGGGGGGGCGGGCTTTTGTTGAAAAGGTAATCCCTTTCTAGGGGACCTTTAGTGGTTGGGACATATCTGGCTGTAGAATCCTGAATCTACAATCAGCTGAATGAGCTTGCTAGGTGTGTATAAGAGTTTCTTTATGTATGTGATCGCCTGCTTGTTGGATTGCATCTCTGCAGGGGCAAGGGGCCAGTCTGAGCGCGTTAGATTGTTTATCATGCATTTGAAGAAGTGATACGGTTCCTTTGCGCTGCCGCATGAGCAGTCCAGCTTGTTGTTTTGATGACCAAATCGCTGATGATAAGCGGCGTAATCGCCGTGGCCTGTCTTCATAGCTAGCAGTCGGTGTAGGACTGCTCTCGGCAGAGTTAGTTCCTTCGGCTCCTTTGTACTGTATTTGGGGGACCACTCCCTGTAGCCAGTGGAGAGAGAGGTGATCATCTCTTTCCACCAGTTAGTCTCTGCGTGTAAGCGCTTCTGGTGGGCGATTGATCGCACACCGCTGATTGTCGGTAGCTTGTCGATCGCCTGGTCCATAGGTCCGACTGCGCCTGCGTCTGCCAGGCGGTCTGCTTCCTCATTGCCTTCGATCTCCATATGGCCAGGTGACCATTTCACTCTGATATCGAGCTGTTTCATTGCTTTATGGCACTTATGGAAAGCCCATTGCGATGTGGGCGGCGCGCTTCCGCGTACGCCCCAGATGACCGACGTGCTGTCAATACACATCCAAATCCGGCCCCCTGGGGGCTCTTTGAGTGTGCTGATCAGGTGCTCTAGCCCCCGCCACGCTCCGATCGCCTCTGCATCGAACACATGTGAGTCGCTCCGGATCTGCTTGGACCCAGAGGCTAGTTGGGTGCCATTGCGGTATATTACGTATCCGTAGCCGACGCAGTGTTTGCGATCGACGGTTTGTTCTGACCCGTCGGAGAAGATCGTGTAGTCCTCGGGTGGGAGTTGCTGCCACCACTCTTTGAAAGCTTGAGCTGCTTCTTCTTTGGTTAGTCCTTCTGTTGGGTCCGCTCTGCAGCCTGTCGAGAAGTGCGGGCGGAGTAGCTTGGGCCGTTGAGTCTCTGGGATGAGGAGGCCGAGCCGCTGGATTCTCGTGAGGGGTCCTCTGGCTGTGCCTGCTTCTCGCCCGCGCTTTCGTATTATGGGTTTTAGGCGGCTCACTAGCAAGTGCTGTTTATCGATCGTTTTCAACCGTAATGCGAATCGCAGCTTGGCGTGTTCTAATGCGACTATCCCCGATGGCAGACCGGCTTCCTTGATCAGAGCTGCGATCGGTGTAGTTCTGTATACCGGGATCGCTCCTCTTGCAGCAGTATTGATCACTCTGTCGATACAACGGAGATGGCCTTTGATACCTGTGTTTTTGATTGTTTGACTTGGTCCAGGTTTCTGTTTACCAGCGTACCACACTTCCGTGCCAAATAGCGCCACTGGGAGGACGCAGGTGATCACTGCTTTCCTGAGGTATGAAGCCGGTGGCCCATGCAGAGTGCGGGCGATCGACCTAATGTGCGAGGCCACTTTCATGGCTTTCGCTGTGCGCATTTTGACGTGTTGTAGGAACGAGAGCCGGCGATCGAAGAAGACTCCCAACCATCTCAGAGTTGGTTGAGCGCTCCCGCTTGTTGCAATTGGTACTGGAGTGATTATCAGCTCCGGGTTTACTACTAGTGGTGGATTGGTAGTGTCGTGTTGCCTGGTTATGTGTAGTAGTTCGAACTTCTCGGGAGCAAATAAAATTTTATTTTCCTTGCCCCATCTGATGATCTGCCGTACTTGACGTTGTAGGATCCTAGCATTTGTAGAGAAATGCTTGGAAGAGTGATAGATCGCGATGTCGTCTGCATAGCCAAAACGGTATTTGGTGTCTCGATTGAGGAGCTCAGCAAGGTATAGCATATAGAGTATAGGTGACAATGGGGACCCTTGGGGGGGTACCACACGCTACTGGGTATTCCTCTGTTGTAATGCCTTCGAGTCTCACCCTGACTTTTCTATTTGTGAGAAATGAGTCTATCAGTTTGAGCAGCGACGTTGGCCATCCTTGTTTGATCATTCGGCTTAAGAGACG